ACCCCACCAACACCGGGCTGGGAAGAGGAAAGCATACAGACCTGCTTGCTCCAGTGAGGAAATGGCTGCCAACGTTAAACTTTGATCTCACTGTTGAATTGAGAAAATGAAAAGACGACTTCTGATATCCAAACAACAACAACAAAAAAAAATGCTCATTTTTGAGGCTGCCTTTTGCTCTGGCCGGAGAAGCCTGAAACAATAAGTGTGTCCTGCTTTGTAACTGGATTGTGCAGGAATGAATGCAAAGGGAAGAGAACTTTTCAGAGCATTTTAGCGCGGAAGTGAATGGGTCAGGTCTTCCTGGTACATGTGCTACTCTCCAGGAGTGAGTTGGGCACTTAATAATCCCACACCATGAAGACACCATTAGCAAAAGCAAATTTCCCTACTTTAAAATTGCAAAAGACTATTAGGGAGATGGAAAGCTGCAAGATGAAGGCCATGGAGACTATGAAAAGCAGCATTGGTTTGAGAGAGGGAGGCTGAGTCTGAGCCATACTTCAAATCTCATGCCTGAATCAGGATCCATCAACGGCTTCTTGGAAAAAATGAAAATGTAATAACCACTCCGCACGGATCTCAGAAGGATAATGGGAAGCTAATTAGGACCAAAAGGACCATTTAGAGAGGTGGATAGAGCTCTGGACCTGGAGTCAGGAAGATTCATCTTCCTACATTTAAATCCAGCCTCTGACACTTACTAGCTGTGTGACTCTGGGCAAGTCATTCAACCCTTTTGCCTCAGTTTCCTCATCCATAAAGTGAGCTAGAGAAGGAAATGGCAAACCACTCCAGTATCTTTGCCAAGAAACCCCAAATGAGGCCACAAAGAGTCAGACATGACTGAAACCGACTGAACAACAACAACAGATAAAAGTGAAGGAAGTAACTAACAAACATATATATTAATGAAACACTCTTCTTGGCTTCCTTCAAAACTTAGTCCAAGTTCAGGAGATCTTTCCAGGTCTCCCTGAAGCTGCTAATTCCTCCAAGGTTACACTCTATCTCTTCTGCGTCGAGTTGACCTTATATGTTCTGTTTGATACATGGGATCTCCCTTGTTAGAATATAAGCTTCTTGAGGGCAGGCACTAGCTTTGCTTTTCTTTGTAATTCCTAGCATTTAGTATAGTACTTGGCAAATAAACAGTAAGCACTTAATAAATGCTTATTGGTTGTGTTCTAGGCACTGAGAATATAAAAACAAAAGGGAAAGCAATGCCAGTCTTCAAGCAGATTACAGTCTATTCCAGATACAGGAATACAGAAAATAAATACAGCAAAACAGGGGAGGGGGGAAGGCGGGGAGCAGCCCTACCAGCTAAGCCTACAAGGAAACCAAGGACTCCCATAACACAGGCCAGAGAAGACGGGCTGCAATGTGCACTAAGGGAGCGAGTGTTCAGATCAGAGACAGCAGAACTCTGCAGGAATACTGCAGAGAGATGAACGCTACCACAGCCAATGCTGCTGCCTTCCTCCTTTTACCTCCTTTAGCAACCCCGGATTTGGAATCCCTTCCACGGCCCTGACATTCCAGAAACCCAGGGTCACTTCCTAGTCTCAGAATCCCACTCAATCCAATCCAATAGGCGTCAGCTCTGTACCAAGCACTGTTCCAGGCCCCGGGGGTGACAGTGAAAAAAGAGCCCCTGAGGAGGTCAGCAGGTCCTGAAGGTGGCGGAGAACAACAAATGAGCAGACAAATAAGGACATGTACAGGATCATAAAGAGAGAGTTCTAACAACTAAGGGTATTTGGAAGCCAACATTTAGTAAGCACCCGCTGTATGCTGGGCACTGTGCTTGGCAGTAAGGGAGATAAATCCAGTGAAATAAAGTCTCACAGGGGTTTCCATTCTAACGAAGAGAAACAATAAGAATATATGTGTGTGCCTACGCATATACACAAATGCACACACACGCTGCCATTCGGGGTCTTCCCTAAATTGAACATCTTTCTTTGTAACTGTCTCTAATTTATTCAGTGTATCCTCGTTTGCATATAGTTGTTTGCATGCTCTTTTCTCATTAGACTGTAAACCCCTTGAGGGCAGGGACTGTTTTTGCCCTTTTGTGTATCCCTAGGGCTTCACCTAATGGTTGGCACCAAGCAGGCTCTTTTAAAAACCGCTCTTTGATTTGACATATGGCAGAGAAAGAGAACACACAAATACACAAGGGAGTTGGCTTCAGAGGGCTCATGGGTGCACCCTGTGCAGAGGGGGACGCTCAAGCTCCATCTGGATGGAAGAGAGGGATTCTATGAGAGACAGTGAGGAGGGAGGGCATTCCAGGCATGGGAGACAGCCGGGGCAAATGCCTGGTGATGGGAGATGGGAACTCCACGAGGTCATTCACTGGCCCACAGAATGAACCAATCAACAAGCACTTATGAAGCACCTACTGCATGCCAGGCGCAATGCTGACTCTGGGGATACAAAGAAAGGCCAAAAACAGCCCTGCCCTCAAAAAGCTAATATTCTAATAGGTGAGATAACATGCAAACAATAAGGTACATACAGTGCAAAGGGAAGGCGATCTCGGAGGGAGGGAGAAGGCAGGATGACAAAAGGCCTCCAACAGCACTGTACACTGCTAGTTGGCACAGCTGAGAGAATGCAGGGCCTGGAATAAGAAAGACCTGAGTTCAAATTTAGTCTCAGACTCTAACTGTGTGACCCTGGCCAAGTCATTTAGCCTCTGCCTGCCTCATCTACAAAATGGGGATCATGTAGCACCAACCTCCCAGGGTTGTTGTGAGGATCAAATGAAATAATATTTTTTTAAGTGCTTGGAACACAGTAGGGCCTTAATAAATTCTAATTTCCCTCCCTGTCTAGTACACCTTCTGCTGGCCATCTTCATACCCTGCCTAGGCTGTATGTAACCCTCTGCACACACACACACACACACACACACACACACACACACACACACACACAC